GAGGAGCCAAAGCCTATTTAAGAGTCTATTTTAGATTAAAGCCGACTTTTGCTGGTTTGGCCAAGATATTTTCACAAAATTGGAACTCAGATTGCTCATTAGGAAATGGGTATGAATGTACACTGGAATAGCTACATCAGGTTTTTGATAAAGAGCAGTACAGTATGATATATTGTATTCCAATTCTTGGCAAGCCTCAAAAGCCAATTACTTTGTACCATCTGTTAATGAACGTACGTTTTTTGTTAATTATCATATGCATGCTTCAGGCACAATTTATCCTTATGAATTTGTTTTCAATCTAAACTTTGCTTTTAAGACTTGCCAAAAAGCCACTTCTGACTATTTTAAAGCAGCTCACTTTGTACTTTTGTTTTCATGAAAAGAGCTGTCGCCCAATGATTCAATTTGTTTCCTGATTGTCGAGGGCCGATACATTTATTCGACAACCAAAATGTAGCAAATCCTAGGACACGTTATTCCGAGCATGCGGGCACTGATTGTCAAGAGAATTAGCTCATCAATATTTTTTCGAGCCATAAGCAATTACTTTTCAGCATGTGGCCTTCTTATTAAACCATACGTTTAAGGCACGTGCGGACACCCACTGCTACGGTAACGTTTTCCCCATGTTTAACTGTTGCGCCTACCAGTCCAATATGTACTGAAAGGTGTATTGGCGTGAATGCTATCGCGATCTTTAAATGTTTTTCGGAATGAAATCCGACGGGCAGCCGATCGCAGTAAATAAAAACGTGGCCTTGGGACACCGGTGAAAAAAACCCATCGCGTTAAAATGAGCTCATTGTCATTTCAGAATTGTCTTTAAGCGATTTAGCATAAGTGACATTTTGAAGGAAAAAAAAGGAAGGTGAATGGGTTAAGTGCCTATGGGAGACCTTCCGCAATAAAAAAAACAACACTGCCTTCGTTTGACTTCCATCTAATATGAATTGCTCCAGGTGGTAAAATGAGACGTTAAAATGAGGTCACATTGCAGATTACTATTCCTTTACTGTGAGTTGTTTTTACAAGCACCGTGTGGTTTGGGAGCGCGTTCACCTGGAGGGAAGAAAAGGAGCTCAGCTAATTAAAGCTGTTTGTAACGTACCAATTCATCGGGTGTGTTTACCTTAAAGCAAATTGTCTCATTATGAACACCGTACCAAACACAGGTGCTGGGAACATTCCAAAGCAAATAACCGATATTTTGTGCGTTTGTCACGCTTAAGCACACCGATGATACCACCGTCACCTTTATTTACGTCCCGGTTACTGGAGGCTCGGTTTCGATGCACCATCTCTTATTTGAGGGAGATGTGGCGAGATGCGGGGAATTCTCGTCAGGGCAGAAATGAAATAAAAATAGCCATGCGTTGAGAGAACAGCGCTGTCTGCAGCGGTGGATCAGAAACTGGGTCATGCACAATTCCTCATGTGGTGTATACACCCAGACCGCTGTGGGCTGCGGGCCCCCACCTCTGCCAAGCATGCATTCACGCTCGCGATGATTCCCTATCTCTGTTATTTCCAACATTTCATGCCACCGTCGTTTCACACCGCTTTTTTCTCCCCAATAATAAAAATAATAATGCCTTGCTCGACGCGCGAAGTGCATTTCATGGTTGAGATGGATAACAAGAAAATGCTTGTGACCCTTATCGTCGCTGCATAGAAGGTGAAAGCTTATCACGTTCCTGTGTGTGTGTGTCTGAGCCGGCACGGCTATCAGAAACATTGTTATATGTAGATATATGCGTGAAACTGTAACTGCAGACCTGCAATGCTCCCATTCTTGACAAATCTAGAAACCGCGGTCCCCGCAAGGCCAGATTACAGGTGAGAGCAATCTAACCCAGCATTATCTGTTTCAAAAAGCCATTTTGTTTACCCGGCAAAGCGGAAGAGGAACAGCAGAAATGTGGGCACACCCGAGTTCGAGGCTGGGGGTCATTGTCGCCAAGGTCGTTATTTATTTATGAAATCTACTTCCAAATGAATAAACAAAATGTAAGTCATTCTTGCAAAACTATTATCTGGGCCTGAAAGAAGATTGGATTTGAATGTGATATGTTAACAAAAGCAGGGCTAACGGAAAAAGGAAAACCACATTTCTCAATGTCTGAACAGTCCAATAAATTGGAATCGGGGGGATTTTTTTTATGACTTCATAAATTAAGGGGCCAAGGGGGCATAAATTGTATTTATTATTTATTACTTATTTTTGATTTATTCATCGCGAAGGGTAAAGGTTTTGCCATTCATACAAAACGCATATTGCTCGCGAGTTGTTAGAGGGAACTGCTTCTGCACATGGTGAACATGAGATTTTAAATAAATCTCCAGCGAACACATCGCAAGGTTTGCAACACTGGCTTTTCAATCCAGAGTTCGATTTCATCTTCCGGAGTGGCAGGCTGCGCGTGGGTGGGGTAAAAGTGTGGGCATGCCTGCTCCTTCTGACACGCCTGGCCAACATGGAAGAGTCGACCAAATACCCTACACAGAGTGTGGATCTAGCGGAGGCCCTTCCACCAGCAGTGGCGTGAGAAAGCAATTTGCAAGGCCCGCAACTTTGACCTTATAAACACCGTAAACTTGGCGGGACCATCCTATAAAAGAGTCCTGAGACTCAGTTCATGTTTCCTGGGTAAACAAGTGCAATAACAATAATAATCATTCTAGATTTGAAGTTTTCGTGACTGCAAGAATCCATACTCTTTGGTTATTTCTGTTACCAGCAGCTCTTTTGCCTATTTCAGCAACTGCTTTTTGCTGTGGTTGTCCCACCTGATGACGGACGCTTGTGTTGTGTCCGAAACGTCGTGATTTAATTTATTTTCTTTACCTATGTGACTTTACCGAAAGATTTGAAGCTTTCGTGACTGCAAGGATTCATACTCTTAGTCCTTTCGGTAAAGTCACGTAGGTAAAAAATTAAATTAAAATTAATAAAAAATTAAATAAAAATCACGGACGTTTCGGAGGCAACACAAGTTAAGGGGGATTTTTATTTTATTTTCATTAATTTTAATTTCATTTTTTACCTACGTGACTTTACCGAAAGAACTAAGAGTATTGACCGAAAGAACCAAAGAGTAATAATAATATACCATCAGCCATAAAACCGAGTCCATGGAAAGAGTCGTGCATTAACAAAGCAATAACGTGCTACTGACGGAAGAAAAGGGGATTCCGGCACTCCGAACGAATGACCTTGTGCGCTCAATAGAACAGTCTCAGTGGCTGCACAGTGCCAAGCTATGGGATACCATCAGGTGATATGCTAATGCAATAAACATTTAGGTAATTGCTCAAACCTTTATAGTTTTATTTTTAACTCACCAAACAAGAACTGAAAAGCCTGCAGGTCATCCTGTCACTTCAACTCACGATCCCAAGATTTACTGTTTTAGCAACAACTTCTTCTAAAGCAGTTCTAGCTGGCAAAAAAAAATAGAAGATGTCACGATAATACCAATTGGACCCTAATTGGTAAATAAAGGTGTTTTCCATATGCACCATCACTTATTCAACCTGACAAGATTAATTCTAGATTTGAAGCTTTCGTGACTGCAAGAGTATGGATCCTTGCAGTCACGAAAGCTTCAAATCTAGAAAGCTAACTCTAACTCTTTCTGGCAAATGTGGTTGTATTCAGCACGATGTTAAGGGAAGAAAGACGGTTGTAATAATTCTAGATTTGAAGCTTTCGTGACTGCAAGGATTCATACTCTTTGGTTATTTCGGTAAAGTCACGTAGGCAAAAAAAATGAAAACAACTAAATTAAATCACGACGCTTGTGTTGCGCCCGAAACGTCGTGATTTTATTTAGTTGTTTTCATTTATTTTATTTTATTTTTTACTGACAAGATTACTTGATCGCACGTTACATTCAGATGTTCAAACACTATGTGAATACACTAATTAATACACGCATAACCACTCCTATGTGTATGAAGAAGTATATGTATGTGAGGCACTGGAGGCAGAGTGGTTAGCACATTGCACTCTGAATCTGGCGACCTGAATTCTATTCCTGACTCATGTCATGCGCGAGTGATATTCTGAACCGGTTCTAGGCCCTCCCTTTCATCAACCTGCGCTGACCATTGTGGTGAAGCTTGGTCAGACAGAGGGCTTAACATAAAATACAAATTCATCGACAACCACTTTTAACTAGCGGTGGGTGACTGTAATACGCTATGTCGATTAAACAATGTGCATTAAAACAATCCTGAAATTGTTTCAAACTAGGAATGAATTTTCCTAATGATGCACATTGACGTCTCGTTTTACCTCAGTGCGTGATATCACATGGACGTACATTTGTTATAGATGAATACGCTGCACTGTCCACAAGTAATTAAAGTGACTTTGCAAATATTCCCTAAATAATACATCAAGTCCACCCCATAGAGTCTGAAAATCTTCTTTAAATGTTGTGTCCATACCATTATCCTCATTTTTGGTTTAAAGAAGATATTCCTCTTTTTTACAAGTAAAAGTTAACTGAAATAAGCTTTGTATTATTCATGTTTTCATGTTATACATTCCAAGCTTTGTATTTACTAATTTAACATTGTATCAGCTTTCATATTACGCACTACTAGTGTGAGCTTGCAACGTTATGTTAAAAGAAAATTAATATACAAAATGCATTGTTAATGGTAACATGAATTTATAATATGAATACATTCTGCAAATGTGAATATTGAAATTTACAATTATTTTCCCGTTAAAGTCATTCAGGATTAACCGCAAATCGGCCAAACGAAATCGCATTTTAGAGCCGGTGGGTAAAAAGTAAAAAAAGTAATCATCAAAACCGCGACTCCATAATAATGACTCTGACAAATAACATGTTGCTCGGATGGATATGTGTGATCTAATTCAACCGGAATCCACGCACAGGCACGGCACGGCACGGCAAAAGGTCACGGCACAAACACGGCGAAGCAATAACGGGCGCGAAGCCACGGGGGGTGGTGGGTCCTACCTGACGGGTAGCGCTCGTTTATTGGGTGGTTGTCCAGCTGCAAGGTACAATTGCCGCCGTTGCGGGAAAACCGTGCCACGTGGTAATTCCCATCGTTCACCGCGACGTTCGTCTCATTCACGGAGATGTCTTCCGTGCCCACGTTAAAGGTCACGCCTACTTTGCCTTGCTTCTGCAACGGGTAAAAAGAAAACAAAGGGGAAACAAAACACACACAAAAGGAAGAAAAATCGCGCGCGTGAGCAGATTCCGTAACGCTTTGCGATGCAGGTGCCCGCCCTCGGAAGTTTCGCGTTTAGTTTGTTTAATCGACAGAGAGCTCGGGAAACCAGAACAGTCTCATTCGCGAGGCTGACCTGCGCCACGAAAATGACAAAAGCATTCAAATCAAATAAAGAATCACAGTGAATCAAATAGAGATCAGATAAACAAAAATTGCGGAATACAATAGGAGCAAGAATAATCGTGTTACAGGGCGATTCCAAGATACAACACAAACATAAATCAACATGAAGGGAAAAAAACGTATTTAATTAGTCATAATAACGTCGACAATCCGAGTCCCACAGCGGCATGAAGGCGCATGGCGTGTGACATTGTGAGATGACGCCACATCGGCGCCGGAGTGCAAGCTTTGTGATGACGCGGGGTGCATGCTTTGTGATGTCATCGCTTTGGCTGACAAGGCTTATCTTGAGACGAGGCTCAAAAGAAAGCTGTCTCTGGTGCGGACCAATCAGATTCAAGGACAATACATATATTGTCAGATTATGTTTTTTGTTTGCATTCTGACCACAAGCATTGTGGTTAATGCAGACATGATTCCTTGTAAAAGGTTTTAGTTTGGTGTTTTAACATCTTAACACCTGTTTTGTTGCCAGAAGAAAGGGGAAAAACCTATTATCATATTTTGATACTGGCAAAGGAGGTCCCATGATGTAGATGCTCACCCCGAGCTCTCTTACTCCGATAGTGCGTTGTCTTTGGGCTGTACGCCTTTTGGCGTCCTCTGGTCTAACACCGTTTGAGATGAGGCTCAAAAGAAAGCTGTCTCTGATGTGGACCAATCAGTTTCAAGGACAATGCATATACTATCAGAGTTTGTTTTTTGTTTGCATTCTGACCACAAGTATAGTGGTTAATGCAGACATGATTCCTTGTTAAAGGTCTCAGTTTGGTATTCTAACATCTTAACACCTGTTTTGTTGCCAGAAAAAAGGGGTAAACCTATTCTCAAGGCTTATCTTTGATTAATTTAGCCAATTTTCTCTTGGGTAAGTCCTGCGTAGCAACACAACTTTATACTGATATTTAGTTTACAGTGGATCATCTTTACAGGAGTTCGTATGATCCCCTCCCCCCTTTACAGACAGACGGAGGGAGATAAAGCAATTGCAGATAGCTTGTGGAGCACCCATTTTTCATGCGTTCCCCCCCCCCTACCTTATTTTAATTAAAGTGCTTTCACAAAGAAACATTTGGGTGCAGCCAACTGTGCAGTTCATTTGGTAATGCAATGGCAGTGCTTCCACATCAGTAATGGAACACCTGTGCACGGTGAATGTTCTTGATTATGCATTTCAGAGGAATCCCACGGACAAACGTGTATTGATTGTTTAAACTATGTTCCACATTTTTTTTTGATACGTAAGTAGTGGTTGAGCGTGCCGCGTTATGGACTTGGCTGCAAGTAGTTTGATTCCCCACCCGCAGTTGACATTGGACGTGAGTGATATTTGACTCAGTCCCTTGCCACTCTCCTTCATTCACGTGCATTGACGAGGGTGGTGAACTATGGTGAAACGACCCCCAAGACCCACACTTGGTGTTGCGAGGCCTTCATTCAGCAGTATTATTGATAAAGGACGATGCGTTACATGCATTATGCAGTTTAAATACATTTACAGAAATATATTTCATGCACAATATAATTATTTAAAGATCAATTGAGATTATTATAATGCTCAGTTCAACATGAATAAATCAAGACTTCATTCAACTTAATCATTCACTTTTTGCGTTTGCAGAATCAAAATATGCCACGCAACATTATCTCATTCAATTGCTGAACAACGAGGCCGTGTAGCACAGTGTGATTTTACGTTATTGCAATTGTAACAAAATATACATTCACAGTTTGTTTGGCGCAACGTGTTCATGCCCCCCAAACTGAACACACGAAGCTAATCATTGCACGGATCATTTCACGGGAATGAGCATCGGCACGGCAACAAACGTCGCAATTTTTGAACATAACAAATATGACGCCTGCATTTTGTCGCCAAATTCGTTCAGAAAAAAACCGACGTGCAAAGCAGGTGGCGATGTCCAAGAGCGCGCAGAGCCTGCTCATAAACACGGGAGCTTAATAAGCTCCAGTGAGAGATGCGCAGGGAATGGACACGAACGTTCTCAACCAAAGCAGCCCGACGTGGGAACTGATGGAGTCCGCATGCAAAAGAGGCCAGACTGTGCGTTGAAACAGTGAGCACTTGCCCTTTTATTTTCCTCCCCCAATAAAACCCCATCTCGCAGGGGACATGACCCGAAAAGCCACTCGCTCTCAACATTCGATATTCATCTGCTGCCACACGCACAGCTGTGTACAATGCGTTGCTTATTTAGTTTCCATACAGGCAACATACTTATTTATATACCATTTACAAATGTCTCGCGTGTGCCTTACGCAACGCACCTTGAATATTTAAAAAGGTTTCCTTTGAAAAATATTACATAGTGACATGCGCCTATAGGTTTTTTTTTCTACCAGAAGAATTCTACATAAACAATTCACAGTAGCTATTTTTTTTTGATGCAGGACTTTGCTACACCTTTGTTGCTACTGAACTACAAAACAAAACACAACGAAGAGACATTTGGGAAGGCAACGCAATCCAGATTTGAACACGCGCTAAATGCTAGGCTAAGGCTACTTAATGACCAGTTGCATTAAATTATTAAATTGTCACGAGTGCTCCATGTAATTTTATTGTAAACGGCAGACACAGACATCACGCCACTGGATACATTCGCATGCTTTACAAATACGCTTTAAAATCAACACACGTGAGCGTCAATGATACGGCAACTTTGTTCGGAGCTAAAGGTCTCCAAAGAAACGAGCGATATGTTATGCAGTGACATAATTGTGAGAATAGCTAACTCTAACATACTCTTAGTTCTTTCGGTAAAGTCACGTAGGTAAAAAATGAAATTAATAAAATAAAACAATAAAAATCACGACGTTTCGGTAAAGTCACCTACGTGACTTACCGAAAGAACTAAGAGTATGAATCCTTGCAGTCACGAAAGCTTCAAATCTAGAAAGCTAACTCTAACTCTTTCCGGCAAATGTGGTTGTATCCAGCACGGTGTTAAGGGAAGAAAGACGGTTGTAATAATTCTAGATTTGAAGCTTTCGTGACTGCAAGGATTCATACTCTTTGGGTTTTTCGGTAAAGTCACGTAGGTAAAAAATAAAATAAAATAAATGAAAACTAAATTAAATCACGACGTTTCGGGCGCAACACAAGCGTCCGTCATCAGGTGGGAAAGCATGGCCTGTTGCTGATGTAGATTCAAACAGTCTGCATCAGCAGTAGGCCAAAGTAGTGAAAGTAGATTCAAACAGTCTGCATCAGCAGTAGACCATGCTTTCCCACCTGATGACGGATGCTTGTGTTGCGCCCGAAACGTCGTGATTTAATTGAGTTGTTTTCATTTATTTTATTTTATTTTTTACCTACGTGACTTTACCGAAAAAACCAAAGAGTACGGTTGTAATACTTGTATGGGTGACCACCAGGGCTTGCTAGGTGTTTTGCATATAACGCTTTGAAGTGTGGCCAGGAAATGGTGGTTCTGAGGGTCACCTATCCGATGCATGTTGGGTTTTCTCCAGAAGCTCCGGTGGTCTCCCACACAATGCCAAACGTGTATCGACAGTGTTGGTTGGACGTGCCGCTCCTGAAAGAGTCGTGGAATTCTGTGAGGCTCTCCTGGGTAAATAATTGGCAGAATTGTTACTATCAATATTGGATTAGGTATACTACAGAAGTGTGCAATGTGCATATTATGTTAATGCATGGCCATTATGCTTTACTGCAACTAAATGTTAATCACTGGATCCCATTATACTACTCTATGAATGCATCTTACTTTAATTAACCTTAGCTTCGGTTTTAATAGAACGTTTTTTTTTCATTATCTGGATGCTGAGGCAAGTACAATGTAGCATATGCATAAAAAAACACACAATTTACCTGCAAGATTGGATTGTAGCACAAGTGATGGATTTTTAATTGTATTTTTAAAATCTACTTTCACTACTTTGTATAATTGTTAAGCAAAGAATAAGATTATTTTCATACCATGTCATGCATTAAACGTTCTCGAATAGAGTAATACATGTGCAGGGCAATTAATAGAGAATCCCGTCAGAAACATTTTCATGCCGCGTTTCACTGGATCCACACAACCATTACGTCACAGTCACTTTTGCCTGAAGCGACAGAGAATTGCATTTAAGAAAACTAAAATGAAAGTTAAAGGACAAAGAAAAATGGAAGGGAAGGGGGGGTGGAAAATGTTGAAAAACTATGACCTCCGAGCTTAAAACAGCGAGACGTTAAAAATGAGTGTACACATGAAAATGCTCTACGTGTGACACATTTAGGAGGCCTGGGCCTCAAATCATGCTGGGAGGCCGTGTTACTCAACGTTTTGCCTACCCTGAGCTCTAAATAATAAATCTACCACGACGCATAGGCAGCTGAGTAAAACTCATTGCTTTGAATCATGTTCAGGATCTCGGCATGGTCCGCGAGGAAGGCTTCGATCCATGGTTGACTATAATCGAACAGAGGTTCCTTATTTTAACTGGCCTCCTTTGCCGGCCCATACTCCAAGGAGAGATATAATAAATAGTTGACTTAGGTTCTGCCGTACGAATGACTTTGAAAGTGACTCACGGAAAACACGATTTGCTTAAATAATGGGACCATGTGCAATCTTCAGCACTTGCTGAGCATGCCCTGCAAACCACAAGACCTCTGAAAGATCACCAGCAGTCGGGGGCGAGGATTTTTTTTAATTGAATTTGTACATTGCCAACTCGCCCTAAAATATGCGTAATATTACATTCAGATTTCAGGCTAATTAGTATGGGCTAAT